TATCTATCTATCTATCTATCTATCTATCTATCTATCTATCTATCTATGGGTATTTTCCCACATCTTAATATTTATGCTTTTATTATAGCAACATTTCGGCATATAATAATAAAAATAATATAATATAATAAAAGCACAAATATTAAGACATGGGAAAATACCTGAACAAACCTTAATACCATACATATAAATAACCGCAAAACATAACAAATAAATAAATATTTATTTATATTTATATATATATATATATTATATTATATTTATATATATGTATATTTCTAAAAATTACATTTATTGTACTTACTAAGCTTTCATCAGCCTCTGCTGACATCATCAGAGTATTAAGCTACCATTACAGAGATCTCTGCCTTTATATATCATTAATCAATTTAGCCCTTGCACTTGTGATACTTGTGTACTTGTGCACTTTCAACTGCCTCCCATCTGTAATTAGCTCTGTTGTTGCTTCTGTCATGTTGGTCAAATAAGGCTTATCTCTTGCTATTGTTTCTCCCTTATCTGACCCAGCCTGGACTGCTTATCTCTAGAGGATGATGTTAAACTGCAAGCTATTGCAATTTGCACACTTGCTAGCCTTGTATTAACTGAATTTTAGGGCACGTTAAATACAGCTTGGTATCAACATACGATTCTCACTAAATCAAATATTGCATTAGTCAAATTCACACTAATCACAACCTCCAATACTAATAATGAACCCTTAAGTCAACATGTGCAGAATCTTCCGGGTTAGAGCCTTTATGCAGACCAGATTTACTCATTTCTCTTAAAGTAGAAATATTATATTTGTTGAACACCCCATGGAGGTTTGACTGTACATTTTGTATTAAGCCATGATGGATGGGCTCCTACTTCAGAAAAAGTCAAGAGCAAGCAATGGTTAAAACAGCATGAAAGAATAATGTTTATTTTGCCCAAGTCATTGATCTGTATGAAGTTGCCATAAAAGAACTATTTGAGAATTAAAACTTCAAATCATTTAAAACCTTATAGCTCTCTGGCAAAGTTTAAGCAACCAGTAAGCTGTAAAGTAATAATTTGGGGCTTACGCAGGTTCCAAAAGATGTGAACCTCCACAATTAACTTTACTACTTGTAAAGATATCTTGTACTGTATGAGGCTAACAAAAAAGACATTGTGGTTGATGATGTATAGAACCTATACAGAAGCAATATTTTACATACAACTTATACAGAGCCAAGCACAGAATTGGGAATGGAAGACCTTGAGAATATGAATCTCAGCCTTGTACACTCAAACCATTAGAGAAAAGCTGACACAAATTTTGTCGTGACCCACAACCTTCCAGGCCAGTATTGATACTGCTTAGTGTCTCAGTACAGAAGTGGAAGTAGAGAAATTGCCACAGGAGGGAGCTACCAACTAGCTCTGGAGGACAGGTGCTGGTTGGTTGGTTGAGCCTTAGGTAGTAAGTTGTAGCTTGGGAGGTGCCATTCATGGAAATCTGTACAAGTTTCTGCTCAATTTTGGGGGAACATAATTACATAACTGGCAAATTAGCTTAATTTAAAAGACCCTTTGTCTAAAGAACCACCCACGCGTAAGTTTAGTGTCCTTCAATCTCCCATCCAGATTCCCTCTACATTGGCCCAGATCTTCGTCCTTTTCCCTCTTAGACTAATCCACAGATCACAGCCAGATAACCCAGATGATCCATCGGTGTGGTTGGCCCTAAATGTTTGTGCTCTTGCATGGATGGCCAAGTTGTTAGGTTTATGCAAATATGCACCCAAGCAATTGTAATAAGACAAAAGTGTGCATAAGTGTGCACATTGGGGGAAAGGAAGAAATGGACTTTGAGCAAGACACAAATGTTGAATGATGAAAACTTTTTTTTTTTAAAAAAAACACCTCTTCCTGTGTGTGCACATGCATTGCACACAGAGGCAAAGAAACATCCTGAAGAATGTCGCCAAAATCATGTTTCAAATGAGACCCACATATCTTTCTTTAGAAATGAACAGGGCCTTCCATGCAATTAAAAAGAAAATAAAAACACCCTTCGAGGAGTAGAGAAAAGCCTTTAATTTTGTCACGCAGAAAAGTTGTGCAAAGCACCAAGAATTGTTTCTTGGCATTTAAACTGCATCTGCTGTCTCCTAGTGGTCACTGCTGTAAAACCCAAAAGGTGCTTTATGCTTCAACAACTTTTCTGACTGCAAAACTGCATTGAGGACTGGGGTCTAACGAAATCTATCTTCCAGTGTAATGATGGTCTCTCGGTGCGCTTTTCCTTTTCAAATGGTAGCACCAAATGTATCTTACTGCTACATTTAAAATGTATTCATAATTAAAATAGCTTTTTAATAAATCATATTGAAATCTCTCAGTGCACTGTGTTTCCAGTACAAATATCTCATGTCCATGGCGGTGAACTGATCTGACTTGATTCAAAGCATCCATATTTTGTGCTTCCTTTTTGCTATAGAGAAGGCTAAAACTACATCTTGGAGCAGTCAACTTGGTTATATTTAGTCCCAATGACTTCCTGCTGCTCTTCAGGCATGTTGGCCAATTGTAGCTGGCAGAACTAGGGCAGGAGTTCCTGGAACTGCAGCACCATCACACACATAGTGCGACTGGCAGCAGAGAAAGCCCCATCCATAAACCACTTGCCGCAATAGGGTTGGTTTCTTGTAAAATATGAATACACACACACACACGTTTTCTTTCCTGCCTTTTCATCTTCGAGGCATCAACCATATTGATCTTTCGTTCTCTGACCTTATTCTGATAAGGAAATAATGTGTTAGAAACACCTATTAAAATCCTGATTTTAAGGTCCCTGAAATGTGCCATCATTTATTTTTTTATTTTTTTTTATTTTTTTGGAGAAATGTGGAAGTGAGCAGATGGATTCTTGGATATAATCGATCCCATCAATTTTCTGCAGAGTTTTTGCTTGGCTTAAATGTGATGGAAAGCAGGTTGCAGAGGCTTCCCTTCCACATCTGTTGTGGCACCTTTAGTTGGCGCATGCTGAAGATGAAACTGCAGTTCCATCACGGCAGCGTCCATTGGTTTTCATGTCTTAGGTTTCTATTCACGCGGGCCATGTTTTTGGCTCAGTTGCAGCTGGAGTGCATAATTTATCTGACTGGATTCTGCCATCAAATAACTCTTTTTCTCCTGATATGCTCCCAGAGTCTCTGCATTTGTCACAAAATTAATAACTACAATGCAACTTCTTAGAATTGATATTTAAATTAAATAACGGAGTTGGAAGTGATCTTGGAGGTCTTCTAATCCAACTCCCTGCTCAAGGAGGAAACCCTATATCATTTCAGACAAATGGTTGTCCAGTCTCTTAAAAATCTCCACTGTTCAAGTACCCACAACTTCTGAAGGCAAGTTGTTCCACTGATTAATTGTTCTATCAGGAAATGACGCCTTAGTTCTAGGGTGCTTCTCTCCTTGATAAGTGTCCATCCATTGTTTCTTGTCTTGCCTTCTGGTGCTTTGGAAAATAACTTGATCTTCTCTTCTCTGTGGTAGCCCCTCAAATATTGGAATGCTGTTATCATGTCTCCTCTAGTTCTTTTTTTCTCTAGCCATTACCAATTCCTGAAACTGTTCATATATTTTAGCCTCCACCCCACCAATCAGTTGCTCTTTTCTGCACTCTTTCCAGACTCTCAGCATCTTTTTTTATAATATGATGACCAAAACTGGATGGAGTATTCCAAGTGTGGTCTTACTAAGGCTTTATAAATAATTTTCCTCTTGCAAATGATGACCAATCATCTTTTAGATAAGACACCAAAGGACTATGGATAGCAATGTATTTCCAGGTCTTTGGACTACAGCATCTATTAGCTCCAACCAGCAGCCCAACAAGGAAGTTTTCTGTTCTAAACTGATGAGGAAAACTGAAATCCACAACTAATGGACTTTTGTTTAATGACTGGTTATGACAATGCTGAAAAAAAAGTGATTTAAGACCAGTCCTCACACTTAACAGCCATTGCAACATTCCCACGGTCACATGATCGCAATTTGTTAGCTTCTGACAAGCAAAGTCGATGGGGGAAACCAGATTCACTTAAAAATGTGGCAAAAAAGAAAAAAAGTAAAACCAGGTATGGTCACATAATGACTCAATTAATGATCGCTTAGCAGCCAAAATTCCAGCTCCAACTGTGGTATATGTTCAGGACTAACTTATTGTCAATAGTTAAATTCTTCTCTCAGCTTCTCTTCATGTTTTGACAGATGACCCAGCGTCTCTTGAAGGGGAGATGGAATTCCACGGCAAAAGGTCAAGAATGACTCCTTTAAAAAGCAAAACTCTTCTAGGGTACGAGATTTGTATGTGTGAAATCCACTGCTAAAACATTTTGTTTCCCATGAAAATTTCCCTCCATTATCAACAACGCTAAAGATTGGGATAGCCCTCCTGAGGCTTGGTGAAAGGTTGCCTGTCCCATTAAGGAGAACCAGATTTTATATTTACTGTGTGAATCAGGATTAGCCCAATGCAGGGAGGTGGAAGGAATGGTCGTGTTAGGGAGATGAACCGGACAACGTAGAGATTATAGAAAATCAGACCTCTTTAATAAATAATACCTGAAACACTTGGACAGATTTGTACATTTAGCTCAGTTTACCACTAGAAAAGAATATTTGTAGCTCAGAGTTCAACTGTGGTGTCCTTAGTCCTTTCTCAGCTTGGTTATAGACATTTCATTACCAAACTAGGTAACATCATCAGTGCTAGTCGTAAAGATGACATTACCTAGTAGAGATGATATTAGCTACTTTGGTAATGTAACGCCTGCAAGAAAACAATCAAGCTCCGAGAGCAACAAGGACTCTACAGCTCAGTTGTGTTTCATTGTGTTCTGTATTTTTTGCCATCCTGGATTTCCTTTTGTCTCCTGTTTACAATTACCATATAAATTCTCTTTAAAAGGCCTTATATTTAAGGAAATATAATGAACTTTCTTCCTCTCTCCCCAAATATGCCTTTTTAGATGGTTTTTGCCTACTGTATGGTTTTGACCAGAGAATTCTCTGTAAAAGCATTTTCTGTGCTATTAGCAGTAATTGGCACATTCAGCAATTTTGGGGGGGAGTGTGAGCTGATGACATAATTGCAAGAGGCAGAAAACTGTAAATATTGAAATATCTGCCTTATGAGATATGAATCAAGACAGGTTGCTAATATACAATCTATCTGAGTTATATTGGCAAAACTTTTGGAAGCTGTAACTGTGGCTGGTCCCTAAGATGACTCCTGGGACAATTTGTTCCTTGGTACACGCCAAATTAACCCCATCTCAATTTAAAAAAAAAATTAAAAAGGAAGCAAGAAAGGGAGAGAAAAGATGTCTCAAAGAATGCCAACAAACAGCGAAAAAGGCAAAGGAAAATACAAGTTTTCAAAACCAACCAGAGAAATCATGGACAATGGTGGGACTACCCCAAGGTACAAATACAGGCAGTCCTCCCTTTACAACAGTTCATTTAGTGACCATTCAAAGTTACAGCGGCACTGAACAAAGTGATTTATGACTGTTTTTCACACTTATGATGGTTGCTTGTGATCACGCATTGATGATTGTGTGATCGAAATTCAGATACTTGGCAAGAGGCACATTTTTATGATGGTTGCGTGCAATCACCTTTTTGCAAAGGTTTGACAAGCGAAGTCAATGGGGAAGTCGGATTCATTTAACAACTGTGTCGCTCAACAACTTCAATGATTCGCTTAACAACTGTGGCCAGCAAGGGCGTAAAATGGGGCAAAATTCATTTAACGAATGTCTCCCTTAGCAATATACATTTTGGGCTCAATTGCGATCGTTAAGTTGAGGACTGCCTGTAGAGGTAGGGTTAGCAGGAATTTGCCACAGGAGAGGAGGAGAGGAGAATGATCAGAGGGTGTTCTGAATGTGAAGTTAGAGGTGCTGAAAAGATCATCTCCTTTAAGAGCTGCCAGTTGTCTATTGTAGGTGATCGAGGGACTGCTCTCTGCTGAATAAGCAAAGACCATGTTCCTGCAACCTCAATGAACGAGTGAATAATAATGCAAGGAGTTTGCTTTTATGATTTCATGTGAGCTAGCAACTTTTTTGTTTCTGCATCAGGCATTTAGACTTGGCTAATCTAAGATCCTGGGATGGGAACAAGAAGAAATAAAAGCTTTTCAACAGGTTACGCTCTAAGAGGCAAAAGGGGAAAAGGGGAGTCTGCAATTGTGAGTTGCAATGCTTATGGGCATGGCTCCTTGCCAGAATACACTGGCAGATTTCTTTTTCTGCAACAGATGTGAGCTTGTAGCAGTCTAAAGAAAGGTCAAAGGATAGGCAGGATGAATGGCCCCATGCCAGGTGATAAGAAAAGGTGGGGATTTATGAATTCAAAGAAAGAAGGCACTACTAACGGAATAAACTATTAGTAGAAGCAGCTCGCTGTAAAGAAAACAATTCTTAGCTTAATAACCAAAAACTATACACACAACTATTGGATGGGGGGTATTTGTGTTGTTAATGATGTCTGTGAAAAAGATCTGCAAAATAATAATTGATTTCAAAGGGAATACGAGCCAGCCGTGTGATGTAGCTGCAATAATGCCAAATGCAACTTTAGGTTGCATCAACTGAACTATAGTTTCCAAATCACAGGAAGTTAATTGCTCCATTTTATTTCATTTTGGTCAGATCCCAGCCTCAGAGGCTATGTCCAATTGACACTTTTTATATGCTGCTCTATACACTGATATTAAAAATGCGATGGAATATTATAACGACGCTATCTGCTTTATTATACTTGGTTTAGTGATTTTTAAATTGCAAACTGACTTCATATTACACAGGCTGGCTGTTAAATTATTCAGCTCTAACTTGTTACAAAAGCAACCACAATATTATCTTTGAGATTAGAAAGCTTATTTCCTCGCTCTTGCTTTCTGAGACAGATGTCTATAATTTAGTCCTTGTCTTTTGGGGGATTGTGGACTTCCAGGTGTTTTTTTGGGGGGGTGGGGGAGTAGGGAGGTACCTGGGCAGGTGTTCTTCTGTCACCTGATCTGAAGCATTTAGCAATAGCAATAATACTTAAACTTATATACACCTTCACAGTGCTTGCAGCCCTGCCTAAGCGGTTTGCAGATTCAGTCTATTGCCCCCAACAATCTGGGTCCTCATTTTACCCACCTCAGAAGGATGGAAGGCTGAGTCAACCTTTATAGCTTCTTACCTCCTGCACTCAACCGGTTTAATAGCTTCTCGTCCTTTACAAATGCTAACCAGGCTGCAAATGCTATGAAATACTCAGATGTACATACATATTGTGTCTTCCCCTGGCTGTAAAGCTTTTGTTTCTTTCCTCTGCTAAAAACATGTTGGCTGTTTGTGGAATGTGACTGCCGCTGTTCTAGAACCACTGAAGCTGTCAAATAGCGTTCCCCAATTCGCCACAGTTTGTAATTCACCACCAGCAAAGCCAGCTGGTGGGATCAGCTGGGAATTGTGGTCAAAAACATCTGGACAGTGGCAGATGCAGGAAGACGGTAGTTAAAAATATTAGCTGATGCTTGGAGCAGATCCCTTGCTCGCTTCCCTCTGCATAATTCAATTTGGTTTTCAAAATCATTATTATTATTCAATTTCCTTGTCTCTGTCATTCCCCAATCATACCAGCTCAACAAATTACTAGCTGACATATAAGAAGTATCATAAAAATCATCACTGTTGACTCTAAGCATATGCCTTAGAGATTCTTCTGTCTTCATGTAATCCAACATCTTTTTTTAGAATCTATTTTGGTAATGTGCTTAATAACATTATGACTGCCTCCAAATTGATGGTAAGATTATTTACAGATGGAGAAAAAATTATACACTGACAAAATATGATTTGGGGTTCTTCCCCCCCCCCCCTTATCATTCCTAGGGTTAATCAAATGGGGCAGGAGTCCATCAGATGTTTTGGATTACATATCCTATGGACCACTGTTAATATGGCCAATTATGAAGGATTAATGGAGCTATAACCCAAAATATCAGATGGGCATCTGGTTGTTTGTCCCTAAAAGAGTGACCACAACTCCTATTTAGACAAAAATTTATCTCTTTCTTAAGTCTGTATTTCTATTCAGTGACATTTATACCAACGTTTCCAGGCTGTGTTAGCAATCAAGCAGTGTGATCAAGCCAAGTCTTTGCACATCTTGTCAAAAGAGGTCATCTTCATCATTTCTTTTTTATCTCAGGATTTTGCATTCAGCTCCTATCTGATTCTCTCAGTAGGCATGATCCAAAGATATTCCCACACCGACTCCTGGACTCTCTCTCTCTCTATATATATATGTATATATATATAGCTGGCCATTGAGGAACAGGAGTCATATGATATGGTTGGAGTGGCAACATGAGCTGGTAACACTTAATGCTCTGGCTCGGCGTCCATGCAAGTCTCCCATGGGTTCTGTGGCATGCGAGGCAAGGAGATGAGCAGAAGCGCCACTCCACAGAGGAACAGCAAGACAAAAGAGGCACAGGCACAGGCGAAGGACCAGGAGTAGTAGTACTCTATCCATTCTGTGTCATCGCTCGCGATCATCTTTTTGACCGATTGCCTCATCACTTCCACTGATATGATGATGCACAGGCCTGGGGAGTGGGAAAAAGAAAACAGTGAGCAGGGAATGGAAGTCAAGGCAGAGTTGGCTTGCTGTCAGGATTCTGGCGATTGCCCTAATTAAATCATGAGCCTCGAGCCAAGCTTCAAAAGAATCCAAAAGACTTAGTAAGGGCAACATGTTGGCATTGACCCATATGAAGCCAACTCTGCCACACGTAATTTACGGTTACCTGTGACCCTGTTCTCCCTTCCCCCCTGGGTGTGTTATAAATCAGATTCTTCAATGAAGCATGTTTATGGGCTGGGTGTCATCAATCACATTCTCCAATGAAGGATTTTTGAGGGCAGAAAATCTGGTAGTCTAGGCTACAATCTTTGTAAGATAAGCATGGAATGTACTTTTGGTTTTAATTGCTATACTGCTCCTTCAGGTTTCCCCCCCCTGCTTATGGCAACTCAAAAACAGGTATAGGAATGCTTTATGAGTTGACACCTCAGTTTTATGCTGAACCGAATTCCAGCTTAACTACTAGATATTTCTAGACTTCTTGATTAGACTAGCAAAGCTCTTTGCACCCATCACCACCTTCCTTTCAGTCATGTTCTTCTTCCACCATGCCCCTTCTTCCCACCCTACCTAAATGTAAGTAAACTTGATGTCCCTATTTCTTCCTTCCCACCTGCAAACATATAGAACATGGCAGCTGGCCTCAAGAGGTAATCCATCTTCTTCCGGAAGGATAAGAGGACACAAATGGTTCCGATGATGGAAAAGCCCACACTGAAGATGGCAATGGCAGCTGCAGAAATGCTGTATTCTGAAGAGACCAAAAAAGGGGGGGAAAGCACTGATGATGTTACCTAGTTTGGTAATGAAACGTCTGCAAGAAAGTCACCAAGCTCAGAGAGCACCAAGCATTCCATCCAAAGGAAATGGTCATTGACAAATCTTCTAATCCCAGTGGGGAAGCAACACAAAGGCAAAAACCTGCCACCAGCTATCAAAGGGTTGTCCACAGAGGACAGTCTGAAAAATCAACATGGTGGTTACAACAATCAAAGCTCTGCTTGATTTTTATCTGTGTCAAACCATTCCGATTGCCATGTTGATACTGGGGGATATCCTTGTGGACTTCTGCCATAAGAGCAATGTTTCCCTCTGGGCAATCAGAAGGGAAGGGCTTCAGAAATAGGAGAAACATAAGCTAATTGTGCAACGCATGATGGGGGCCAAGGCAACAATTCAGCATTAAACATGTAGATGGTGAGACAGTGGATCTATGAATGGAATTGTCGTGTTCCTGGTTCAGTAGGTAACAGACTTCCCTTCTTCCTCGTCCGATTCTCTGGGAAAAATCATAATCGGCTCCAGAAGACACAACAATTTCTGCTCTGAGAAACTAATATGATATGACAGGGACAACTATCTGGGTTCTGAACTAGAGCACGACGTGCAAATTGTCAAGGAAAAGAGAGGCTATAAATCCCACCTTTTTCTTAATAGCAAAATGGGAAAAGATACAATAATCCACCCAATTGCCTGCTGTTTACCTGTTCCCCTTTCTTTTTCAAAGTTTTTACTCAGCTGAACTTGGATATTAGGGGTAATCCAGTGGTGGTATTTTACCGGTTTGGCCCGGTTTGGGTGAACCGCTAGTAAAAAATGTTGTCATTCGGCTGAACCGGTAGTAAAAAAAAACAGCTACCGATTCAGCCAAAGTGGTATTTTTTTTCCCTCCCAACGATCAGCTGTTCTGATGATTAGCTGGGTTGGGATCCTCCTCACTGTCTTACTGCTTCACCCAGGAGGCTTCCCTGAGGCCCATAAGGCAAAAAATAATAATAATAGTGTAATGTTTAAACCTTCCGTCTACATACTCTCCCCTTGTTCAAGCATTACATTATATCCAAAGCTCCTTTGCCCACTGAATCATGCAGTGCTTTAGACATTCATTCTCCAAATTCACATTCAATAACAGTTTATAGACCTTGACAATATGTTCGTCACTACCGCCCAGTAGGATTTCCAATTCATTTTTAACAAAATGAAACCCATAATTCTTTTCATCTGATTTAAATCTTCCTTTCAAGTGTAAATATGTAAACCAATGGCAGACACATCCTTCTGATTCACCTCTTTAGACTTACGGATAGGATTACCAAAGATAAAAGATACTTTTGTGACTGTAAGTTTGGCTTTGCCACCATTTCTTTTCTATCCCTGCAATTTTCTTGTCAAGCTTTTTTTGGGGAAATGGTTTGCCCTTGCCTGCTTCCTGGGGCAAAGAGAATGATTGACCCAAAATGATTGGCTTTGCGTCTAGGGAGGGACTAGAAATCTCCCGGTTTCTAGCCTTAATCGCTGAGCCAAACTGGCTTTCATTTCAATACAGGTAATCTTTGATTTAACAACAATTCATTTAATGACCATTCAAAGTTACAACGGGACTGAAAAAAGTGACTTATGACCCTATTTCACTTTTATGACCTTTGTAATATCCTCACGGTCATGAGATCAAAATTCAGGTGCTTGGCAGCTGACTCATACTTATGACCATTGCTGTGTCCCAAGGTCATGTGATCAACTTGTGCAACCTTTTGACTTTGACAAGCAAAGCCAATGGGGATGCCGATTTCACTTAACAGCCGTGTGGCTAACTTGTCAACTGCGGTGATTCACTTAACGACTGTGACAAGACAGGTTGGTAAAATGCGGCAGAATGCACTTAACACAATGTATCACTTAACGACAGAAATGTTGGGCTCACTCATAGCTGGAGGTCGAGGAACACCTGTAGTAGCAAGCTTATAAAGGCTAGCAGTCTATTGAATATACGGACGTGAAAACGCTAAGGGGTGAAACATCTGAAGGAGATTCTTGAATTGCAACAAAATGATACAACGAATAAGGATGAGGGTGTTAATTTCTTTACAGCATAAAACAAATTGTTTTGGAATACAAAATTAAAATGGGTAATAGTTTGCTTTTCCCTCATGTAGATGAATCGGAAGTAAATGGTCCTGTCATCTTCTGTTTCATTTCTAGAATCATCTCCTACAGACTAAATTAGGGAAGAGAAAAAGCTCGTAGAAATTCTGCTGCTCCCTAATTTTTCTACCTCCTTATTAGAGATGTTTGTGGATCCAGCTGAAAGATTTCAAAGACCTTTAGAAAGCATGCTCCCGTCTAGAATAAAATGTGCTTGCAAAACTTTCGGTATTTCCAGTTCTATCCCAGCAGGGTTTCTGTTCCGAATAAGGTTGGAACTGCCTTCTGCCCGTCACATTAATCAACACTTTGCTCTTTAATGTCAGCCAGGCACATGGGGATGCTGAGAGCAGGGCTTGGATACATCTTCTCAATTTCATCATTTCATGAGTCAGCCCTCGGTTGCAAAATAACTGTCAAGAGCGGGAAATCAGAAGCCCAGGTAGCTCAAAATGACTATAAAAAAAAGATATATTGCAAGCTTAAGCTCTCTATGAGAATCTGAACTAGTAACTGTCAAAGCAAATTAGTGGTAGAGAAGAGTCAATGGAATTCATGGAGAAGCGGACATAGATCTCTTGTGGGCTCAAGACCGATGACGTGTTTGACCTCTCCCTCGGGCTCAGCCTGGTCATCTCCTACATCAACATTTGCAAGGAGCTGATTCATTAATACAGGGTTCTCCGATCCTGGCAACTTTCAAGACTTGTGGACTTCAACTCCCAGAATTCCCCAATCATCATAGGAATTCTGGGAGTTGATGTCCACAAGTCTTGAAAGTTGCCAGGTTAGAGACCCTTGCATTAATAAATTCCAACTTAGACCCTTGTCGTAGGAGTCATCTGTTAAATCCTTCTTAAGACTAAAAACAAGGATGTGTGACATGCATACCTTTTTTTCACAGATACAGCAAGTGAATCTGTTTAAAAATATCACTTCAGAAATAAATTATTAACCCAGAGGGATAGTTAAAGCACATTCACTGCACAATTGCAATAAAGCTGCTATTTCAACTTTGCAGAGCTGTAATGAAGCATTGGATCATCCAGCGGTAGTGCTGAAAGAGTTCACTTACAAATGAAAAGCTTTCCTAATGAGAGAAACCTAAGGCTGAAAGCAAGGGCTGGCTGTCACTCATTTGTTCTGAGTAAAGAGGAAGAACTTTGGTGCATTCTTTAAGTGTGATCTTCTCTTAGAACAGGGGTGTCCAACCTTTCACCTTCCCTGGGCCACATTAGAAGATGAAAATTTGGTTTGGGCCACACATAAAATCAAATAACAGTAACGATACCTGATCATCCAAAAAAACCATAGAAAACATAGTTAACATATTAAATTTATTTGGAAATGGAGTTAGTGAAATGTTTTTATTATTTATTATTAATTATTTATTAAAAATTATTTATTTTTATCACGGTTTTTCTATCACGGTTTTTTTATCACGGTTTATTTTCCGGCCAAATTTTGCAGGGAGGGGGAGAGAAAGCTCGCCCGCCTCGCGCCTACCTCTCCTCCTGCAAATGGCCCAGCTGGATGAGGCAAGACTGGAAGGCAGAAGCAGCAGTGGCGGCGGGGGCAGAAGCAGCAGCAGCAGCGGGGGAAGAAGCAGCAGCGGTGGTGGGGGAAGAAGCGGCGGCGGTGGTGGGGGCAGAAACGGCAGTGATGGCAGGGGCAGAAGCGGCAGCGGTGGCGGCGGCGGCAACAGCAGGAGGTGGCGCTCTGACAGCGCCCGCCTTTTCTGTTGCTGCTTGGCCTGGCGCTCGCCTCGCCCCACCTCGCGCCTGCCTCTCCTCCTCCTCCTCGCTGGCTCTGGCACGAAGGTTGGGATGGGCACTGGGCCGCATTACGAGGCAACCTGGGCCACATGCGGCCCGCAGGCCGCGGGTTGGACAAGCCTGTCTTAGAACAAATGAAAATGCTTCTCATTATATTTAGGAATTTCAGGTCTGGTATTTTCACCACCTAAAAAGTTTGTCAAGCAAGAAATTCTTATGTGGGTGGAACCCAAAGGTGCTTTTTTCAAAAACCAGCTGGACTTTGTTTTTCCTTGAAGACACTTTGCTTCCCATCCAAGAAGCTTCTTCAGTTCTTCCTACCCAAGAAGCTTCTTGGATGAGAAGTGAAATATCTTCAAGGAAAAACAAAGTCCAGTTGCCTTTTGAAAAAGCACCTTTGAAACAACCATGACCTGGATGACTGAGAATAATCTCCATCGACATACGTGGGTGTAAGTTTTCCCACTGGCTACATCTGATGTATTAAGGTTACCATTCTCAGAACTGAAAACTGAAAACAATCGTTGGAGCAGCTTGCCTCCTGAGGTTGAGGGTGCTATATCACTGGAGGCTTTTAAGAAGAAACTGCAGTGGGAAGCTATTTGTCCAGAATGGCTTTGGGCAGTGACGGCTAATCTTTTTAGCACATGCGCACATCCCCAAAATGCAATGCGTGCGAGTCCCTCACGCCTGCGCCTCACCCCCGTGCATGCATGTGCACCCCTGCGTGCACAAGCATCCCCTGCACATGCACCCCACCCCACGCATGCGTGGTAGGGACCCGAAGACCAGCTGGCTGGCGGGAGGCACTTGCGCATGCACGGTGGAACTGAGCTGGGGCAACGTCTTGCATGGCGACAGAGAGGGCTCTGTGTGCCACCTCTGGCACGTGTGCCATAGGTTCACCATCACGGGCCTAGGGTCTCCTGATTGAGCAGGGGATTGGACTAGAAGACCTCCAAGGTTGGACTAGAAGACCCTTCCAACTTTGTTACTCTGTATTCTGTCCTGTATTCCATCAGAATTCTCAGTGTTGGTGCCAACACAATAACTTCTTTGTAGACCAAAGATGGCTTGCAGCCAATTAGTCCAACCAGAAAAGCCTTGATAGAATTCTTCAGATAAGCCGGAGTCTCCACACGCAATGCTGAGTCCTTAGAAGGTTTTTGCATTCTGCAAAAGCAAAAACCTTTTGAAACCAGGCTTATATTCCCTGGAAGGAGGGGCCATTATGTTGCATCCTTACTCCCGAGTCACCTGTGCTGCTCCAGCTGTTCTCTTCTATGAATCATCCTGCGCTCACGCGCAATTAGCACAGGCTCCTTGGGAACCTCCTTGTCATTGCTGCCAGCCCCCACAATCACTGAAGGCAGTAGTCCACTCCCTGATGGTCCTGGCCCCTCATCAGAATCATCACTCTCCTCAGTCATCTGCACCTGCTGCTAACTAACCACAATACCATGATAGGGAAGACTACTTAATATGTTCCTCTAAAGCTGATGGGGCTGACTTCAGGTTCATCTTTCCATAAGTGTGTGACTCTTCACCTCTTTCATCTGGACCAGAAGTGGTATTCAGCAGGTTCTGACCAGTTCTGGAGAACTGATTTTGAGTAGTTTGGAGAACCGGCAAATACCTCTTCTGACTGGAGATTTTACAGTATACTTCCCTAGCCACGCCCACCAAGCCATGCCCACAGAACCGGTAGTAAAAAAAAAATTGAATCCCACCACTGAATTCTGCACCCTTAGACATCTTCCTCCATAACTGGTTTAATTAACCCATATTTGTTTAGAGCTGGATCCCAATCTGATGAACTGGGTACATTTTGGCATAAGGTATGCTACTGTTGTAATGCAGGGGTTGCCTGCTTACCAATTCTTCTTACCTCGTTGTGTTGATACTTGAAAGATCTCAGTGCTTTCTCCTGAGGCAAAGTGTGTGAAATAGGAACAGTTGTCCTCTGAAAGGAAGGAGGGGAGAGGAAGAAAAAAAAATTAATACTTTTTGTCCAAATGAATTCTTTTCATTTTTGCTGAAAATATACCAGGTAATCCTATATAGTTTTATTTAGTATTCAATCCCATCGGGACTAATGATACACATGGCAGAAAATAATATATGGTGGTGCAATTTCAAAGAGGTTTCTCTTGTTTTCTTTTATTTTAAAAGCTGTTTTTTTTAATTAATGGAAAATGTTTATTCTTTCAAATAAACACTCTGCACATCCCTTCTCAAATGTTCAATATGTCAGTGAGGTGGGTGGAATCTGAGGCCTTACATATTCCACCTGTACATTCAGACCTACAGCAGTGAACTCCTCCATTTCTTTAAATGCATCAAAAATCTGGTGGTTTTTTTGGGGGGGAACCTTTATTTTTAGCATCGATTTCTCACTTCTTCTATCTTTTAGCCATATCTACAAGATTAGCTAGTACTAACCTATGCATTTTAGGCAATAACAGGTAGTCATTAACTTACAACCATTTGTTTAGGGACCGTTCAAAGTTACGACGATACTGAAAAAAGTGATTTATGATGATTTTTCACACTGATGACAATTGTCATGTGATCCAAGTTTGATGCTTGGCAGCTGGCTTGTATTTAAGATGGTTGCAATGTCCTGGGGTCATGTGATCACTTTTTGAGGCCTTCTGACAAGCAAAGTCAATGGGGAAGCCAGATTCACTTAACAACTGTGTTACTGGATTGACTGTGGTAACAAGGGAGGAAAGAAAGGTCGTAAAATGGGGCAAAACTCACTTAACAACTGTTTCGCTTAGCAACATAAATTCTGCACTTATCTCTGGGTCCATTGTCTATCAATATCTATATGGAACAAATAAATATTTTAGAAAAGTTGGGTTTTTAATAGTGTCACTGAGTGAGACACTGTTGACCTCACATACACTCAAAGCTTCAGGCAATCTCAGAAAATCTCAACAAGCACAATGGGTTTTAAGAGATTACATTTATTAATTGATTAGGTCCTTGTAATCACCTGATTCCTGAATCTGAATAACCAACCTATCCCTCCCTCCCTCCCTCTCTCCTTCACACCTCAACCCAATTTAAAGCCTACATCCGTCTAGCTGCCGCCCTGGGCATCTGATGCAGTGAGTTACAATTTGTGAAAGCTTCTGTCTTTTAATTAAATGTGTTTTCACCAGAAATGGTGTTTCCAGACTCCTCTGATATATATATATATATATATATATTGTCAGTGTGTTAAAGCTACAAGAAAGTAGTTTACAGCTAGAGGTCAGGAAGAGATTTCTGACTGTATACACTGCCAGCCAATGGAACAGGTGGTCACACATACTGTGAGTTGCCCAATTGGCTAAAGATAATATCCAGAAGGTTGTTGGTCATCCATTACCAATGTCCTGGTGGAAGTTGGAAGAGATGACCCCCAACCTTATGAAGCACTGTGGCTGAGTATAGAAGACCTGGACTCCACAGTACCATTCCAACACCTTCCCATGACACACCCCGGCTAACACATTGCCACCAGGCTTTCATTTTGGCTAATTTCATTGGCTCGCTTGAGCTGCCTTTATTGCATAACACATGAGCAGTTTTGTGTGATTGCTGATGAGCTTTTCCTGGAGTGACTTAGCAATGAATTTGACTGTGTCTTTCTCTTGCTGATGTCATCTCCATCTCCTTCCCTTCCCTGTACCAGAACTTTTATTTCTTGTTGAAACAGGGGTGTCCTGTTTTATCTGGGATAGACCTTCTATTCAGTGGTGGGGTTCAAATTTTTTTTACTATCGGTTCTGTGGGTGTGGCTTGGTGGGCGTGGCAGGGGAAAGGATACTGCAAAATCTCCATTCCCTCCCCACCCCACTAACCTGCTTTCCAGTTCCATTCTCCTGTGCAGGGCAACCAAAGAAGACCCAGCCGATCAGCTGGGACTTGGGAGGCAGAGAATAGATGGGAGGGGGCCAGTCAGAGGTGGGATTTATCGGTTCTCTGAATTACTCAAAATTTCCGCTACTGCTTCCTCAGAACTGGTCAGAACCTGCTGAATACCACCTCTGCTTCTATTCCATCAACAGTGTTCAGGGGATAAAAATTGGCAGACCTAGCCAATTGTCCTAGCACTATTGTTCTGTACCTGATTGTTAGGGATACACCCTAGCAGAATCTGCACGGCAGTCAGGCAGGCAGGCAAAAATATATGAGATAGACGTTTTTGTAGCTTACACTCAGTAAAACAGATACACCGTGCTAGCTAAATAGTTTATTCCAGCAAGAGTTATAGCATAGTCAAACAGTCCATGTATCATTCACTAGTTCAGTCCGTCCAGGGATTATTCAGTTGCAAATTCCAGTGTCGAAAAAGAGAGGTCAGTAAACTTACAAATATCAGTCCAGTGATATATCTCCTTGCAGTAGAGATATGAAGAAGTCAAAACTCCTATCTTCCTTCAGCAACTCAGCAGTAGGGGAAACACCCAGTTAACAAACCATCAATCCATGCAATCCAGTAATTGTCAGGGAATCGTCAGGTTCTCTTGCTCCCTCTTATGGTGGTTTCACACCGCACCCAAAATTACATGCTTTGCAGTTTTAAAGTGACACACACTTAAACTTACAATCATAGTTTATATATATTATTTTACCCAAACTACGTTAGGTAACCTATGTTATTCCTAACACTGATGCCTATAACAAGTCTATGATCTTGTTAAATAATGTATTTTCCTTTTGGCCACACAAGATTTAATGTCTCCTCCTTGATGCCGTCAGCTTAACGCCCAGTCTTTGCAGGATATTTAGCAGCAATGCTGAGCGTCACAAAAGCACCACAAGGTCCTAAAAAGAAGATGTCCTGATTTAAGAAGTGGAAGTTAAAGACAAAGACAGGTATTAAAAAATGATGGTTTAATCCTATTAATTGAAACTTCCTTTAAAATGCTATTTATATTTCTAACATCCCCAAATTCTTTTTACATGTTACGCGTACATTACTTAGATTAATATATCCTTTGGGCAGGAATTCGTCAATTGGCTTCCTGTTCATCCAGCGTGCTAAATCATGGTTTGATTATTTACAGATTACTGAATAAACAGTGATTAGCTGGGACACTCTTTTTCATCCTGGGAGATGCATTTCCTCCTTTTCTTCTGCTTGGGGGCTAGGAAGGATGCAGTTAATAAAATAGCATAATGGATTATGACATGAATGTCTATGGAGATTCTCAAACATTCAGGTCATGGTTGTCCCAAAATATTTTGCTTCTCATCCAAAACCCATGAATTGAAGAAGATTCTTGGATGAGAAATAAAATGCTTTCAAAGGGAAAAAAAATTGAAAAAAGTTCACTTGCCTTTTAGAAAAAAAGCACCTTTGGGAGAATTATGACATGATCAACTGATTTTTTCAGAGTCGTGTTTCTCCTTAATACGTTCAAAGCAGTTAAAGAGTAAAATTGGGGCTTTATGATTTGTAGAAATTTAAGGCAACTAGTTTGCCCTTAAAGCCACCCAAGAGAGTCGGGCAGGAATAGTGGTTATGAAGAAAATTTTAAGCTTCTATTTTGCCTTTCATCTTCCTCCTAAGAATAAAGGAGAAAAAAAATATGCCCAACATATTTTTGTTTCTGTTGATTCTGTTTTTAATTCTGTTGATTTTGATTCTGTTGATTCTAGAATAGAATTCTTTATTGGCCAAGTGTGATTGGACACACAAGGAATTTGTCTTGGTGAAAATGCTCTCAGTGTACATAAAAGAAAAGATACATTTGTCAAGAGTCAAGGTTATCTATTAAGATAACTTTGGAATAAACACAGAGCTAGCTAGTCCTCATGGTTTTGCTTCTTGCTTAGTCCTACCTCAAAGGGCTAACACTGACTCCTGCAACTCTGCAACTATCTCTCACATCCCTTACTTTCACTCTTCCCAAATCTAGGAAGGATTCCTTCTGAGACAGCTTTTCCAACCCATTTCTTTGGGCTCAGACGTCATTGATCAGATGGTTGTCTAAGGCCTGTAGCTATTCCTTTTGTCTCCCAAGGCCATTCCACATAACAGTAGAGGTAGTCCTCATTTAGCAACTACCTTGTACAGTGACTGCAGTTGCAATGGTGATGAAAAAACAACTCGCATTTATGACCTTTGCAGGTCTGTAAAACAAAGGAAAGCTGTAGTACGATTCTAAGCACAGTTGTGGTTTCATTTAGAAACAACTTGACTTAACCGCTGAGTTGAGGGTCCCAACTGTGGTCATTCAACGAGGTGCATCCTTACAAGTTCGTGATAGAGGTAGCAGCAGTTTTCCTGTACCATAAGCTCAGGCAAAAATGTTGACCAAGAATTGAGCCCCAATTCCGATTGCAGACAAATGGCCACTCCTCAGTTTTACTCAGAGCGAAAGCTACAATGACCAATCAAACATCTTCACAAACTTGCATGACCTTCCCACCTCCCAGGCAGATAGAGGGAAATTGATCACTTTCAGCTTTAGAGACTCAGTCAGTGAAGTATCCACTGGTGGGGCAGATGGGGGGGCGGGGGTTAAGGTTTATCCTTGTTACTGTGCCTGTGCTTTCCTACAAGAGCTTCATGACCATGAAGTCCTCACCTCTGATGTCCCTTGTACGAGAGCTCAGGGGTCCTGGCACTGGGCAGCAATAGACTTAGTTCTTCAAAGCCCCGTAGCCTACTCAGAGCAGATATCAGAGCTTCTGCCCACAGATGACCCTATAACTGTCAGGCATTAGGCCAACGGGGATTTTTATGGAACTAGCTGTGATGACAATTTCATTAAATCAGGAGGACCTGCGGAAGACGTAACAGTGTCACCCCAGAAGCCCTGCTCTTTTCATAGAGTCCTGCTCTATGACCCTTATTTTATTATGAGGATGATAAAACGGGGGGGCGGGGGGAAGAGGAAAGGCAAATTAAACTATTCATATTATTCATCCAAAGCATTTCACAGCGGGGAAACCGTTAAA